TTTTTTTTTTTTTTTTTTGTGAAACCAAAATATATATTATAACATTTACCGAAATATGTGTAATAAAAATATATATTAAAAATAAATAATAATTTCGAATATATTATTATATTATTATTATTATTATTATTATTATTATTATTATTATTATAAAATATACTGTTTAGTGAATAAAAAAAAACATAGAGATAAAAGAAATATACAGAAATGAAAATTCTATACTGAAAAAAAAAAAAAAATCTGCGTTTTTATATTATTTATTTGTTTGTACTCCCTTGTCAGCGATATACCTATTGCACGCGTATATATTATACAGTGTATGTATATTATGGTAGTCGTAACGACAAAGCACAAAAACGTACATCGTGTAACGTGTTTGTTTGTTTGTTGGTATTTTTTTTATCGGGACAATTACGACGTGATAATAACTCGCGGCGATGACGGTAATAATAACACAATCATTCCGATGTCCCAGTCGTAAAACACTGGTACGCTGCGGCACTTGCACAACGACCGCTTTTTGACGCCGCGGCGCGGTAAAACACGGTGAATAATTCGACGTTTTATGGCGGCGGCCGATGGGATAAAAAAAAAAAAAAAAAAATCGAATAAAAAAAGCGCGCTACAACGACGCCATCGTCGTCCTAATAAGGGGGGAAAAGTCTGCGCGTGTACGCTACGCTGCAACACTCGGCGGCCGTATATTTGCCCGCACGTGCAGTTGTGTCGTACCTTCTGCAGAGACTATAACAATAATTTTATAAACACGTAATAACGCAACATACGAGTACGGTGCGCGGCGTAAAATATTCGGCCCAGTTAATAATTATTGTCGGCACACGCGGGTCCGGCGACAGTGAATGTTTATACGAACACTCGAATGTTTTATACCGTGTGCGCTGCCGCCGGTGCTGCGAGTATACGCGATTTATTCGCGTACACGCGTCTACCGTGTATTATAAACGGGCCACCCCCTAAAAAAAAAAAAAAAAAAAAAAAAAAAAAAACAAAACAAAACAAAAAACGGATTATAACGTTGCGGCGTTTTTTTGTTTTTTTTTTATTTATCGCGCGCACCCTCACCAGATTGGATCGAAGTTTTAAATTGCCCGAATAATTATGATCGAAAAATATTTATCGAATATTTTTATTATTATTATTATTATTATTATCATCATCATCATCACTGCGTTGTGCGCGCAATAACGCAACACGCAACAATACGAACGGGACGTGACGCGACGTCGTTTACGGTTTTCGCCGCCGGCGACGACGACGCGCACGTTCCAATGCCGACGTTACCCACCGTACTCTACATCGTAATGTTATGCGCCGTACGTCCGTGTGCACGTGAAATGCGAACATACTGTATCGCGGTGTCGATGTCATACCGCGTGCGCGAGTCAGAAATTTCGTCCCGGTGCAGCGGGAAAAGAAAACGCGACGGCGTCCATCGCTATTCGCCCGACAAGTGGGTGATGCGTCTATAGGGTCGCGAACGCAACGCGTTTAAATTCCACAAAAAAAAAAAAACAAAAATCGATTTAAACGTCGAAAAAGCCTCGAAAGCGGACTGAAAAATAACAGAAAAAAAAAAAAAAAAAATGATAGTGTGTTTTTAAAAGTCCCCTCCCCCTCTAACGGATCTAACTTATAAAATGCGATTGTCGAACACTACGAAAACGATTTGGCGCAAGCTCTAAAAGTGTAAATTGTAAGTATATTATAAACGAAATATTTTGTGTTACGAAGTTGAATTTTACGTTTAGAACCTCTGTCGATTTTGCTCCATACAATTTTTTTCAGGGTTCTTTTGACGTTTTTATAAGCTATTTTTTGTGAATTTTAAATGCACAAGTACACGAGTATACGACTTCACGAGAATGAATATATAACTCATTGTCAATTCGATTATAGTTTCGTACCGTTTGTTTTTTAACTGATACAATAACATTTCATTTTTTTTATTGACTTCCAATTTTTCATTTTGATTTCGAACAATAAATATAAAAAAAAAAAAACGTGAAAAATTGCCTAAAATGTACTATAAATATATAATCTAAAACTCGAAATTAAAACACTTGAAAAACGGGCTGTAGTAATAGAATCTTAATGAATAAACCACTCTCATAATAAGGCATGTTGAGTAAAAAAACAGGACGGAATATAGTTATTTTTTCCCGAGTTGTCACGTTTTCGTGTCAAACGTAGACCAGTGTGGCCGTTTACTTTTCCTGTGCAAAGCAACGACAGTTTCCAAAAGATTTAAATTAATATTGAACTGTTTCCGTCTTTGCACACTTATTACATATGCATATGCATATACATATGTACATTGTGCTGTCGTCGGGACATTTTTTAACGGAATAACATGTTGACCGTGTGAAATAACTGCATTTAAAAA